CAAGGCGCCCCTCCTCCGTCACGGCGGTTTTCCCTTTTTTTTTTTTAACAAATTGTACCTTGCCTCCTTGAGACCTCCTTCCCTCCGCCGCCGCCGCCAATTCCTTGCCTTGCCGCCTCGACATTGCCGTTGTTTGAATATTTTTTTTTTTGAGATGTTGAAAGAAGATGAGCGATGAGAGTGTGAGTGTTTTTTTTTAAGGTCAAGGGCAATATTGTCAAATCAAGTGAATTTTGTGGGCTTTATGTGGAGATTTGCAGGCGATGTTTAACAAATCCCTTTATAATTCCTCTTTGGCTTAGTGGATGCCAAAGAATCCTGTTGTTGTTGTTGTTGTAGTACATATGCATTTTCCTGCTGAATCTCCTCATAATCCAGATCATCCTCCTCCTCATCTTGAGAAACACCAGGATGCTCCACCTGAACATGACTAGAATCTTGTTGGTTTTTAGATTCTATCTCCACCACTTGAGTATTTGTAGTCATTCTAACATCACCATCATTAGGCACCATAGTTTTTGATAAAGCTACCATAGATCTTTCATCAAAGGTCACATCCCTGCTAATTACAAATTTAGAATCTTCTACACTCCAAAGACGATAGCCTTGAACCCCTTTTGGATACCCCAAAAAGATTTCTTTCTTGGCTCTTTCATCAAGCTTATTATCCTTAACATGATAATAAGTCGTGCACCCAAAGACTCTAAGTCTCGTGTAATCTGCATGTTCCCCTGACCACACCCTATAAGGCGTGTCACCATCTAAATAAGAATGTGGGGATCGATTTACTATATAACAAGCTGTAGCAACCGACTCCGCCCACCATTCTTTACCTAATCCAGAATTAGAGCGCATACACCTTGCCTTCTCAAGTAGTGTACGATTCAGTATTTCCGTGACTCCGTTCTGTTGGGGTGTGTCTCTGACCGTCCAGTGCCTCACAATGCCTTCCTGATCACAAAATTCCTTGAAAGCTCCTTCTGTGTATTCGGTACCATTATCAGACCGTACAGTTTTTAGCTTTCGACCTGTTCTGTTCTCAACCATTGCTTTCCACCTCTTGAAAATGTCGAATACCTCATTCTTATGCTTAAGAAAATAAATCCAAGCATATCTAGAATGATCATCAACAAATGTAACAAAATACCTGGAACCACCTTTGGAAGCAACTTTAGCCGGACCCCAAACATCCGTATGCACATAGTCTAACAATCCTCTGCTCTTGTGCTTGCTTGTAGAGAACTTCACCCTGTGTGCTTTTCCGTACACACAATGCTCACAAAATTCCATTTGTGACTTTTTCATGTTCTTTAACAAACCTTGTCCACTAAGCAACGATAGACCTTTTTCCGACATATGCCCAAGGCGCATGTGCCATATACTCGTGCATTCTGTTTGGTCTTTACTTCCACCAATTCCAACTACTAAATCACCTGTAACAGTTGTCCCCAAAAGAGGATAAAGATTACCGTGACGAATTCCCTTCATCACTACCAAGGAACCACGAACAACTTTTAAAATTTCATTCTCCAAGACTATTTTGCAACCATTTTTCTCTAATAAACCAAGAGAAATAAGGTTCTTCCGCAAAACTGGAATATGTCTCACATCCTTTAAGGTTAATATTGTTCTATCATGCATCTTGACTCGGATAGTACCTAACCCGACAGTCTTACAAGCATGATCATTTCCCATCAAAACAGTACCACCATCCAAACTCTAGTAAGTTGTAAACCACGTCCTGTTTGGGCACATATGGTGTGATGCACCTGAATCAAGCATCCATTTACCGGATATCTCATTGCATTGTTCTGAAACCGAGTAACAATAATCATCCTCGTCATTTGAGACAAAACTAGCTTCTTGTTTTTCATGTTGTTTTCCTCTGGAGTTGTCGTTGTTGTTCTTCTTGAATATTACCCTCTTAGGGCAATTAGCTTTAAAATGACCAAGCTCGCCACATTTAAAACATGGCCTTTCCGCAAGAGGTCTAGATTTTGATCTAAGCTTTCCTCCCTTGCCTCGCCCTCTTTCATTAGTCCTTCCTCTGTTTGCAAACAATCCCTGAGCTTGTTTGTTGTGTTCTCTTCCATTACCAGACATCATTCCGCTTGTAGCAACCTTTCGAAGGTCATCCGCTAAAAGCGATGTTCTAGTTTCATCCATGGTTAGAGTATCACCCACAAGCATCAATGTTTGAACAAGATTTTCATAGGATTTCGGTAATGAAAGCAATAACATGAGTGCTTGGTCTTCCTCATCTACCTTCACGTCAATATCCTTCAAGTCTGATATAATCCTATCAAACTTATTAATGTACTCCCGGATTGAGGTGCCTTCATCCATCTTGCATGTATACAATTTGGATTTTAAGTAGATCCTATTTGTTAGAGTTTTTGTCATAAAATTAGTCTCTAACTTTGTCCACACTCCAGCGACTGTTGCTTCTTCATTTACCAAGAATGCAACGTCCCTCTCAAGGCATAAGATTATAGCTGCTCGTGCTTCAAGATCCAACTCTTCCCAATCCTCATCCTTCATGTCCCCGGGTTTTTGTTCTTTTCGTGCCAATGCCTTATGCAACTTTTGTGATACAAGCAAATTTTTCATTTGCATCCTCCAATAGGAAAAATCATTTTTACCATTGAATTTTTCGATTTCATATTTCCCAACTTTAACCGTTCCACTAGTAGATGCCATTATAATTAATTTCAAAAAATCAAAAAAATTTATCACTTAAGATTTTGACGTCGGCTCTGATACCAATTGTTAGAGCTCTCACAGCGGAAATGTGGCTTCTACTAGATAATATGAAACCGATACTTCACAAAGATAAACAATATATGTGATAGACAAATAACCACTATGAAGGAAATAATAAATATAAGAAAAAAAAAACTTTCTTAATGCTAAAACTTTTGACGTGAAAAATGAATAATTATTAATCTATTTCTACATTGTGATTTTGCATATTTATAATGAATATAATGCTAATTAAACAATGATTCATATTGTTTCTCTAACAATCACTTCTTTTAATTAGCAAATTAAAAGCTAAACAAAAGGTAATCGTCCCTATTAAACTCCTTATATTTCTCTCCTCCTATTAGTTCCTTAATTTTCTCACAGTATGTTTACATGTAACTTGGCGGATTTTCAGAATTGAAATTTTTTGTTCTGCATTGTATCTTGTAGACGAAAAATTCATCTTTATGCTTTGTGCAATTGCTTACAAGTCATGGCAGCAGAGGGGGAAAGGGTTTGACTTTTCAAATTAAGTTTCAACTAGCCTTCTAGCCCGTGCAATGCACGTTTTATTTGTAGGTATACTATATAAATAATTATTTTTTAATATATTTATATTGGCAAATGAATAGTTTATAGAGGAGAAGAAGAGGTAAAAATTGAATGCAATTGTAGTAGAAATTAAACTGGAGGAAAGTGAACCAAACACCATTCAATAATTTATACATGTATTAAATTAAAGTTTTTTTTTCATATGAGAAAAGGGATTAAAAAAAGAATGGAGAAATAAAAAATGAAATGTACATGTTGCATTATAGGGATGATGGTTTTTGTTTTTAAATACTAATAAAGTATAGACATAGATTAGCTAATTGACACTGCACAATTTTAAAAGTTAATCAATCTATATTCATTATTGCTAACATAAGTTCTCTCAATGATGATAAAATACAACGAAGTATTAAATGACTAAAACAAATATGCAAAATTAAATTCATTAATATGAATTATGACCCAACAACAACCATGGACATGAACTTATCTTTTATAATGACCGATATTTAGAAAGAACTTTTTCGTCCTCTGGAAAGAATTCTCACGGTCTAATCCCATGGCTCAACCTTGGACATGTGGGTTCAACAATTCGAAGTGCTTTTCTTGCATGTTTCCAATGGAATCGTAGTTTTGCAAATTTTTCCTAAGGGTGTTCCTGGACAGGTGGGTAACTAAGGAGTAAGGACTCTGTAAAAACTTTGTTTGAGCAATGGACCAGAGAGAGTGGTGGTCTAGCTGCTTCCCCTGCCGAAATTAACAATCTACTAAAGAGTAAAGACACTCAACAACATGCAAGCTATGTCACCAAAGATCATTCCTGTGATTTGTTTGCTTTATTTATTAACTTCATCTGTTCATGTCAATGAGTGTCTTTAGCGCCTCAATTTATGTCAATTTAAGCATGCAAATAAGTTCATGTCAAAAGTTGTACTCAAAACATGGTTCACATCAATTAGCGTAATTTTGCCTGATAAATAAAGTTCCTAGGTAATATTGACATTTTTACTAATTCATTTGACATTGTATTATTTGGGACTATTGCAATACACAAGGCACCCTATTGCAAGGAGAGGGTCCTGGTCAACCCGCTAGCAACATGCAAATTTGCTGATGACCAAAAATAAGGATGTTTTTTTCAACAACCAAAAACAGAAAAGTCAGAAGGCTAACCTTCATCCACCATTATATTGCAGTAGCCCCAACAAGCCAACAGGACAACAATGGGATAAATTTTTTGTGTCCTTCCTTCCCAACCACCAACTAGAAGGGAACAGAAATAGAGGATATATTACTCAATCGGTCGATTATACTTAAGTTTGCTGATGATGTTATGTTTAACATATCTTTCCAGAGGACAAATGAGACAAGAATAAAATCGAGTTTTGCTACAGGAAATCTATTAAAACCTCGAACAGAATACAAGTTGGAGATACGGGCCTGTCTAGTGTCTGCTGAAATTTGAAGAGTTAAGATTCCTGAACGAACATGTAAAGGGCGCAACTGTACAAGTAATCAAAGAAAAAAAAAAAAAAAAAAACTGACAATCTAACATCCAAAGGCATGTCAGAAGATCTACAATGTGAACCTATCAAGAATTAACATGAAGTATATGTATGGCCTTTCAAGAGACATGAGAATAGGGAAATCTTTTATAAGATGAGCCGTATCACACAAGGATAATACTAGGTACATTTTTACAATAAGATAACCAGCATTTTTCATTACAAAAACATTATGCAGACTTACTGATTTACAGGCAGAAATATCAGTGATGACTAATCAGTTTTTTCCAAAATATTTCTGACTGAGGTGTCGATTGTTTCACTAGAACATCTTATATACACCGCTCTTTTGGTAAATCACAAATTCACCTTCAAGGTCAACAAGCAATGTCCGTATAGTTTCTTCACTTGAATCTTTGAAATGCTGTATAATATCGTGCAAAGCAACCTGCAGAAATCAGAAGTCAGTCATATATAAGATGCTTAAGCATTTTCTTTTTCTTTTTCGGTTTTATTTGTTGGGTAATGCTAACTAAGAGAGGAAAACAAACCCCGTCACCATAGTTTTTAAGCCATTCTACTATAGAACTCTGAGTGGCTGACATTGCACTGCAACGATCATTTTCTTTATCAATTTTGCAACGCTTCGATGTAATCATATCACAATCAAAATCAGTTTCTTCATCCTTCCTATTCTTTGGCAATTTATGATCTAAGTTACAAGATTCTTCAGCAAGACACGATGCCAAAGATTTTGGTGATGATTCAGCTGCTTCAGGGACTTCATTTGCTTTATTCAGAGGATTAAGCTCTGATGGAGAAGAGATACCACAGCTTAGCATTGTAAGACCAGCTTTAATATGCGAATAATTTACCTGGCACCAGTAAACCGTTTTAGTATAACATCCAAAAATTTACACAGAAAACAGAGCTCATGAGTTCAACTTACAAGCTTTTATTAAATTAAATCATGACTAAGCACACATTTTTTGTACAGAACTCACATTTTCAGGTAATTCGTCTTTAATGGGCTTCAATTTTTCAGTTGAGCCAACCTTTGTAACTGCATCCAATATACTAGAGAACATCTCGGGTGTAAGTTCAATCTCAGCACAAAACCTGGGCCAATCAGTAGCTAAGCCTTCTTGAAAAGCCTCGAGGAGATAACTGAGGACAGTTCCTTCTTTAATCGGGGCAGATCTACCAGGGAAGTTCTGTCATTGAAAAAGAGAGGAAGTTGGAGCTGGAAATTGTAGCAGGTGTATTCCGGAAAATATGTACACAAAGTATCACTAGAATATGGCCATAAACATGCACTGAGGACCAGGGTAGGTCATCCACTTGAATTCCTGTTGGAGTCTGGATACAGGTCCAATCCTCACCCCTGACGGAGGGGGATTAATACCCTCCTCTAGCAGGGCTCAGTGGCCTACCTTACACAGTATTACAAAGCACACGAACACATGCAATGCATATCCCAGCTTACAAAGGCAGTATTCTGAATAGAAAACAACAGGAAGTATAAACTTCAAAGAGATGTACAGCAAGGAAAAAAAGAGAGCAATCAAATAAAATAGCATACAGCAATTTTCTCAATGGAATGTCTGTCTTCATGCCACATCCTCCATGCTTCAAACTTTGCTGGTGTAAGCTTTTTTGGAAGGTTTTGAACAGGAGTCACCTTTTTCACTGAAACAGTTTGTATGCTCAATTCCCCATCCAACGACATATTAAGATCTTGTGAAAGATGCCGAATAGCTTGAAGAAAGTGATCCCCATATGTGGTGACAAAATGCTGCAACATTTTACAAAAGTTTCAGCCAAAAACTTTATAACTTAATGATTAAAAAGCTAGTAATCACAAGAGAAGCTGTTTGACAATCAGAAAGTCTCAAGTAAGAGAAACTAATTTGTCATATGTGGTAGTCAATTACCACTGGAAGATCATGGAAGTCACTGCTTTACTGTACAGGTTGCATGTTACTCGCTATAAATTACACAGGCAAGAATTGCACCCAAGGCCATGCCTGGATTGAAAGTGATGAATAAAGAGGTAATAGAGATAATTTTAGAGATTGGAGATGAATGGCAGTGGTGATTATGTAGGAGGGAGGAATGGCGGAATCACCCTTGTATTGGGGGTAATAGTTCTATTAATTCCCTACCACCAGCATGAGGTGATAATTCTCCCACCCACTGCCCTTACACCATCACTATATCCCGTCTAGGATCTAGCATCACCTTCATCCTTGTTCATTTCCTTTATTTTGCCTCTCCTTCAATTACTACCCACAATCCAAGCACACCCTAGCACATTCTCCATTCATTTCATAAAGTTTTTCTCACTTGTCCTCAAGAAAAAAAAAAAAAAAAAAAAAAAAGAGAGAGAGAGAGAGAGAGAGTTGTTCACACTTTTCGTTTTGGGTCATTCCATATAGTTATTTCCACTTTAGTTTATTCCTTTTTGTCAAACAAATACTAACATTTTACCCTAACCCAGCCTCTTTCTCCTCTAAATTAATCACAACTCACAAGTGTCAACTTATATAATAGCCTCTTTTTAATTTACCATATTTGACTTTTCATGCTTGTCGTAGTTGTCGATGCTGAATTTCGACCATTTATATTTTTTAGTTTAGTACTCAACAAGTCAAATATTATAATAATTTGATATTTGGAAACTATATAATGAGACAAATGTAACAATAAACGACTATTATTATCTTATATGTATATCACCAATGTTAGTCAAAGTGGAGAATATGAATCATACAAAAAGTCAAAAATGGGTAAATAAAAAAAGGATCTTGCTAACAAACGCCCCCGGGGGCGTTGGATAAGTATTTAAAACATTTCCTAAAGTGGAATTCTTATGATTCTTATCCAACGCCCTCGGGGCGTTATTTTACAGAGAGTATATTTTCCATAGTAAGCGGATCTACAATAAGTGGGAACTTCGTGGAACAGAAATACTTATTATCAAGCATTTGAAACCCTTGTTATATTTTTGAAAGCAATTTAGTAACAGAAATTATCTCCTGTTTTGGTCTCTATCAATTCAACCTTATCACAGTAGTTTCTTTTGATATTTTATGGAGGATTGTGAACCTGTACAATTTGCTCAAAAAGAAACTAAAGCACAGAAAAAGTATGGAATGTGATATTATCATTATCCAATATCCATAATACACCTGGTTTTCCCTTAATCAGCAGCCAATCTTATAAAGTATCCTATCTGGCAATTCTTCATTCAGAATAACATTGATTTAACTAGCTTAACTTTTTATGAAATTTCAAATGATAAGTTACACTAGTTGTAATTTCTAAATGCTACATCACCACCCCAAGCATCCAAGCTTTAGGGCTACATTACCCTATGATAAGAGACAATACAAGTAGCTCAGTCACTCAACACTTATTAGTTTTCAAAAAAATTAATTTATTGGAAATCAAAAGGAGGAATACAGCATGAGGACAAGATGTACTTAACACAACTACACAACGATTTAAGGATGTATATATTACTAATTGCAATGGACCCTAGCACTTTGCTAACGGAACCAGGATGATGGTAGGATGCATAATTTGAATCGTAGAGTTTTAGCAAGTCTCAGGTACAAAAGCACCATGGCTCCATAATTAAGCATTACTGTTATGTATTCCCAGAACTTTGCTTTTTCAAAGGTAATGAAAATTGAGATAAATATGACTTGCTCCCCATTCCCCAACATATGTTGTGTTTTCTCCAATTTCTCTAATTTTCTTACATTGACACTCAAAAGTCTTGTTAAAGTCAAATTCTAATGAAGAAAGAACCTGTTGCAGACTTGCAGCTTGGGCCATTGTAAATAATTTCTTCAAACTCAAAAGAGAGCAAATTATGTATTTTTACTACATAAGTCCCTTGATCATACTGACTCAGTCAATCAAGCATTGCACAGTTTCAAAAATGAAGTCTCTAGCTATTGGTCATCAAGCCAAAGAAATTAATTTGTACCATGTCAAAAAGAACCTTGAATTAAATTCCAGCCTTACGGCAAAGTATGAACTCTATACATATAACATAATGTGGAAAACTAAGAGTATTGATTAATGGATCAAAACTCATAATTCGAAAAAAGAATGAGAAATTCAAAATGACTTCACAGTTAGTACTTTACTGAGAATAAGACGCTAGACAGCAAATCAGCAATAATACTGTAGTAGATTATCCATCAGAAAGGTATACTTGTTATATATATAATAGGAAAGCAGAAATAAAAACCCTTTATTTAGTCGAAAGAGTTACTTGCTATAGCAAAACATATATTAGCTATCAGCTGACATACCTGGTTGACACCATCAATGTTCGCTAATCTTGCTCTTGTAGATGGTCTAACCAATGCAATTTTTTTAATAGTGGCCTCACCACAGATTGCGTACCTGCAGAATTAAACTACAGATAAGATGAACATTTATTATGAAGCTTAAATATCTTCAGGCCCCGAAAAGGTCTCCTTGATGTGTATTGATGAAACTCAAAGCATTTGCCAAAATATAAAGAAGCAAATAGAAGCAAAGAAAACCTACGGAGCAGTTCCAGTGGCTCTTGCAAGCTTTGCCCTCTCTGCTAAAAGTGTGTGATAAAGTTGAACCTCGGCCTAAATGCAGAAGATGACATAAAAGTTCAAAATATAAAAATGGACAAAATAGAACAGTGTTGGAGATTCAATTATGTAACAATTAACATAGATAAACTCTGATATGGATCTTACTATACCTTCATATTCTACCAAGTACCCAAATTAAGCACTTGTATGCTGAATGGTGCTAATCTTGTAGAAATTCCAATATTGATTGACCAAAACTTACAGAATGTAATGTACATAAATATTCCTACCCCATAGCAAGTTAGCAACTAGGATATATCTATGCATATGTTCACCTTTGCCTCCAATGACGTATTTCACTCACATGCAAAAAAGACAGCGACATACTAATAACACATAGCCTACAACTACCATGTAATCATGTAATAAGTATTTCACACACTAATATGACCAACCTCTGTTAATCCTTCACATTCGGAGGAAGTCAAAGTTTTCAAGCCTTCAACTTGACCTGGTGCACCTTCGTCTTCCTCACACATCTCATCAATTATAGGCAGGATCAAAGGAGGCTGATGGTCAGGTCCTGCAGATTTGAGATATTGTGCTCCTTTGGTGCTGACACTAATGCATCAAGAATCCATGAACAAGAAACATGCCCAAAAGTTAACAGAAGCTAAGACTAAGTAACTCAAGGGTGAAGACATGTTGAGTAATATAGACGAAGATGCTATCCTGTCTGTGACTAGTTTATACATAAGTATATGACTCACCTCACAAATCTGTAAACGTCACTAATTGTCTCCTTTAGATAACCTGTGTTTTGTTACTAGTTAGCCTTAGTACATGCCAAGAAACAGAGATCTTATCTACTACTGTATACAATTTTAGAAAGGAAAAAAAAAAGAAAGAGAGAGAGAGAGAGAGAGGGAGAGAGAGAGAAAGAACAAGGCAGGCACAACAATACCCTCATTTTCTTAAAAATATGTCCACATTAAAACAAGATGAACATCAAAGTGACATCAATGCACAAAAAGTATTCAGTTGTTTTGTCCACCACAGAATGTATGCAGATCATGCAGTCCTTTACAAGTGATAAATCTTAGTCAACTCAGTATATTTGCAGATCAAAGAAATTTACTAGTTGCAGAGCATGTAGTATATTTTATGACATTATACAGGCATGTGTATAATTGTATATTACTACAATTAAAAATTATATATATTTTACAAAATATTAATCTGATGAAAAAATCCTACATAGCAGTGAAAGACACTTTCATTCTTTCAATATGACATGTCTTGCTTTGATGATGAAGAGACTAGAAATTTCCAAGCATTTAACATACTTAAATCACAATTAATAATATAAGTAATCCTTGAGTTACCATGAGAAATCAGTTGAGAGCCTAGCGACTTCCACCAGTTGGAAGAGTATGCCTTCCCAAGGCCATGCAGTGGAAGCTTATCAAACTGAGCATCAACTATTTTTTTTGACTGCAAATTGAAAACAAAATCAAAGGAAAATATCATCAGCGCTCAAGGAACAAGAAAGACGGATACAATGATACGAAAAAAAAAAAAAAAAAATCTAGATTATTAAACATAGGAACAAATTAACTGTTAACCAAGACTTTTTACTCCTGTACCATTTACAGCAATTAATATTAATACCGAATCACCAATCCTACCAAACCAAATCATCATTGACATGGACTTCTACACAAACAAACAAAAGTAGGAATCAATAAATAGCTTGTGGAGTTTTATTGGTGCCTTGAAATCTAAAATAAAAAGGGAGGAATATGGACTGCAGTTTTTCCCCAAGAGGGGAACTTTCTAAAATGCACTCTTAGTGAAATTTCTCAACCTGTTTTGTCTCTAGACTCTAGTTTCATGACTTGCCTGTTATTGCTCGTGAAAACTATTGGATTATTTCTTAGGAATATTTCATAACCTTCTCCAAACATTGATAATTTTGAAACTGAGTCCTCTCAAAATCAAGATTACTAAAAATAAACGATTCTAGAAAGTTTCCCGCCCAAGGCAGGGTCTGGGAGTTAGATGTATGCAGACTTAAACCCAACCTCAACAGAAATACAAAGCTAAGCACATAGGGTGTCTGTTATTTAGGTGAAAATAGGAGCCTCAACATTTTTTACAGCACTAGAATGTATCTATGAGCCATGACTGATGAGGAAGTGAGCAAATAATCTTTTAGTGGTAGGAGGACAATTCAGTGATTCTGAAGAAAGGAAATTAATACTGCTCATACCAGAAAGTGATCAAAGGGTACAAAGGTAATTTCATGATCAGTAAGTTTCTCTATTGCCACAATATATAAAGTAACCAATCATCAAAACGCAGCATAAATTTTGATAGAGCTTACCCGTGATCCCCGAAGAACATCTATAGGCAAATTGAGACCCCAGTTACCCCTGCATGAATGAATACAAGCCATCAGAAGATAGGCTTCTTTAGACATGTCTCGCTCCCTCCGGGTAGTAGTGCAATTGTCACAATTTCCTGCAGGCATAACGTAAAATGATTAAAACTTTCTTTTGACAGGTGATTAAAACATATTTAAATAGCTAATAGATAGTTTAAAATGATCTTAGAGTTGTTTAGACAACAGCAGAAACAACCTCATAAAAATAAGATTTAATTTTCCAATACAAAACATGCCTGATAAAAATGATACTTTGTAAAATAGAGAACATTAGCAAAGAAGATCCATTGTCAGCCAGAAAAGAGACAAACTTTATTCAATCCTCGCTTTATTCAATCCTCTCTCCATTTATGATATTAATATCAATTTCCACTCTCTGTTAGCATCATGTGAAAAATATCCTATTATTTTCTCCAGGCATTAACATGAAATAAGCAGACTCCGATAAAACCACGGTATGCAAAGAACATATATCAGCTAAGGTACAAAGGAATAATTCTCAACAGAGAAGACAGAGGTCACATATTCTTATTTCATGTTAAGAATACTCATTCTTTTTATTTTGGGATAGGTAACAAGGACATATATTTAAAGGCATCAAGGTCTATCACCTACGTACATAAGAAGATTAGAATTAGAGCCAAAAATATCATGTCAACAAGCTGAATAAACCACTTTCTAAATTAATTCAAGAACAGTCTAATGCAACTAGAAAGCTAATTTGCTGATTAGCCTAGCTTTGGCATGAGCAAATCTACCCTTTTCATTCACCAACATCTAACCTTTATTCATCCTTCTTTTCCATGCCACAAGAACAAACTTGGGTCAATTTTGGCTGCAAAGGCTTCAGCCTGACCATCCCCAAAAAAAAACTGGGGTTTAATGTGTTAATTCTTTCATTAGAGAGAAATAGATAACCATACAGCTGAATTGATAGTTTGCAGAAAAAAATAAAAATAATAGCAAAGGCGGTGTCTCATTCAAGATTATAGTCGTGTTATTGCGCAACACAACAATAATGCTTAATAATAGTCAATTAGAGAAGATTAGAATATGTCTGTGACCCACAGGAACCAAGTTGAAGATTAAAGACTATATTTGGAACCGGTTCTCCAGACTTACAAAGCACACATACATAGCATTTTAGAAAAAGCAAATCACCTAAAAATGATAGCATGAATTAAATTCTTAAGCTAAGCTCATTGAACCAAGAAAAATAATGCAAATGTAAAGGTGTAGTGCTGACAGAAAATTGCAGACAAACTTAAGATAAGATCAAATTTTGCAAATCTGTACGTGCAATTTTTGTAAAGAGCATGATGGAACTAAAGTATTGCACAACCAAAGCAATCAACCAACAATATCCTCAGATTATAAAAATCTAAGGAGATCTATAGATAGAAAAATCCAGTCAAAGAAAACCTCTCTTAAACAATCCATTTCATTTCCATTGTCTTAGAAACCATCTCCGACAATATATAATAATTGATAAATGATGAGAGAATATATAATAATTGCGCTAGCAACTTCTATCAGACAGACTACTACATTTGTAGAAAAGAAAAGTACTGATAATATTTGTTCATAGAGTTTAATCAAAAGTTGGCTTTTAGCTTAGCAAATTTTAATAATCATTAGAAAGTAGTATTCTATTAAAGTTAGTAAAGACGTTTCAGTAACATACCACAGTTTTCCGCTGGAACCATTTCACCAAAGTGCTCCAGTAAGAACTTCCTGCGACACGTTGTTAGCATGCAATACTTTTGTGCTTCCATCAGTGAGTCAACAACAGCTTTTCGTTGATTTTCCTACGAATTTCAGATTTTTAATTCAAAGGTACACAATGACAGCAAATTCATTAGAAAACAAATTCTGAAGCTTCTATGAAATTGGTACATACTGTTTGCAATCCACTGCAATAAAAGTCAGATTTTGCAAAGTCACTTCTTGTGTAATAGAGCCAGCAGACAGATGCTATACCATCTCTCCCACATCGCCCACTCTCCTGGTAATATGTCTCTAAACTCTTCGGGCAACCATAATGTATCACTTGCCTAATGTTAGGCTTATCAATTCCCATGCCAAAGGCAATAGTGGCGACCATGACACTCAATTCATCTCTAATAAATAATCTGGAAGAATAAATAAATTAAATAAATTTTGGAAAGTCTGACACTAAAAATGGGCAAGCCATGCTTTCAGCATTCATTAAGTATTAGTATAACTAAAAATCTTTGTTTTGTCAATTATCAGATCATGAAAACGGGAAGTTAAAATAAATTATATGATACATGGATATGAATGCAGAAGCTTACAGTAAGTGATTTTAATTCATTAACTATCAGACCATAAAATTGGAAAGGAAAAGAGGAATGACACATGGATATAAAAACTGAAACTTACAGCAAGTAATTGATTGAACCAATAAGAAAAATTATCTATATTTATACCTATGTGCCTCTTCCCGAGCTTTATTACCCATTTGACCATGATAGATTCCAGCCTTAATTCCTGCGCTTTCCAACAGTTGGTGTATCTAAAAAAGGAGCACAAACCAATTGCATATAGAGATTATAAGTAACATGGAGAGAACTTGAGGCACATGCCCCTCACATCTAATTCTTCAAATCAAATAATCCATCCATCTATTTCATTTTCCTTCTTGATTCTAGATTTTAGTTATCATTGATAGCCACAGGTCATGCTTGTCCAAGAAGCCCATGTTAATGCTCACTAGAAGAGCATATTCTTGTTGTTCTTTCAAGGAAATGCTAGGTTCAGACATTAAGTCAAGGTTTCCCAAGACATTTCTTTTAGTTAAAAGTTTAATTCAACACACAAAAAACCCTTACTAGCATCTAAAATGTACTAGAAAGTTACATTTGACTAATAAATATCACTATCTCTGCACCCCCGCCCCCCAGTCCCCCACCCCAATACTCCCTCCCATCCTGAAGATATGACCTACCAAACATCCCCAAAATGTGCTCAAAATGTTGTTAAAATTTGTCAATAAAGTACATGAGAGAAAAAGTGTAACAAACAAAGTTTCATTTATCTCCATTCTCAAAGTACTTTGAACATTTCTAGACAATTCTGTTCGGATACTGAATACAAACCCAACCCAAGCGGCGCTAAAATCATACAAAAAAATGGCTTTTATTAAAGAACCAAACACACAGCGCATAGCTTATCCATTTTTAAAAATATTCATTATTTAGACATTCTGCACTTGCAAGATAGTGCTTGCAAGATAATTCATGCTTCACTATCTTGCAAAGATTTATATATAGATACCTGTTCAACATCTTTAATTGTAAGGCAGTAAATGATGGTTGATCCAGCAGTAGCCACAGATTTTGAAACCTCTTGTACAAGCTCATCCAGGAAGTAGATGCCTCGATTAAAAGATTTCACACCATAGAAGAGATTTTTACGATCAAATGAGCCTACAGCAACATAAGGATCCTTCATCTTCAATGACTTAATTATGTCTAACCGGACCCTAGAGCCAGAAAAAAAAAATAAAAAATAAATAAAGAGAGAGAGAGAGAGACCTTTATATCAGAAAGTACAGGGAAATTCATATAAAATCTTTTAAGTTCAGGACCACAGACATAGATAGTAATACACAAAGCTAATTATTATCATCTTCAGTCTAAGTAAATGAACAAAAAAATTCTCGTAGGTTTGGTACTGGACAATCTCAGTCATAATTTAAAGCCAATCATAGGATTGAAAAAATTCCTAACATACTCAACGAAACTCAGATCATAGGTGTAAATTAGATTATAAGATGGATACAATCTGAAGCTAGTAACGATAGTATGTTTACAAAACATATGTTGTTCAATACAAAGTGGCAGTATCTTATCACATATTTTGGCCTCAGAAGTCACTGTACTTGCTTTGTTGCAAGAAGAGCACCATTTGAGCAATGATCTTCTCACAAGAAGTTAGGACTTAGGTCAGACAAAAAGGATCAAGTAGCAAGATCAAGTTACAGAAAATGAAGGTAATAGAGAGAAGTTTTTCAGGGATACAAAAAGAGGCCAGATCTTTATCCTAATCCAAATGCATACAGGTCAAAACCTCAGAGAACATAAACTCCATTCAGTCAGACACTCCACTTCTTACAATCCTCTTATTTCAACAGCATTAATATATTATAGCAAGTACGTGAGCCAAAGAGACTGAAAGTAATCCGTCTGACCCAAGAAAAAAATTTGCTTACAATTCTGTCTAATATCTCCAAGATGATATCAAAAGTACTACTGCAGTAGTTTAGTCACAGTAAGATTATCACTGTCCCTATTTCCTATGAATTAAGACGCGTTACTAATGACTTTTAAGGCTATGGGTACCAAAGATGGCAACCCTTTAGCTTTCAGATATAGGGGGGACATCTTCTAACAATAGCCATCCGTATAAAATTGATGAGTTCACTTACTTGTCTGTAGCAGTTGCAGTCAAGCTCACGAATGGGACATCTGAGAGAATAGGACGCAACTTGTCTAGTTGTTTGTACTCCGTCCTGCAAAAAATTGGAGAAGGCAAGAAAAAAAAAATTTAAATGGCTTATAAAATGGAAAATACAACCTGTCAGAGAGGGTGGATCAAGAAAATTCATTCTATGCTCAAGAAAAATCAAATTGGTTCTGATCAAGCAAATATTTAACCAAGACAATATATAAAGGCACCAGGAAACTGGGCCAAGATTTATGTTATTTAAATATCTCCCTCGCACAAGCAGCAAAGCCATGCGCCTACCATGGTCAATCACCTGCCAGCATCTATCCTTAATAACATTCAATCCAAATCGAAAAGGATCATCCATTAAAACCCATTTGCAGTAAAAGAATATGTTGGCTAGACTAAGAAACCCCACCTAACTTGCTGGGTTCTTAATTTGCAAGTCAAAGATTGGGTGATCATAAGACCCCCACTGAGAACAACAACTGCATAGGTTATTAATTTGCTAGTCAATCAGAGTGATTAAACAATGGCAGATACAGATAAACACTTCCTGCTCTCCAAGATTTTAGGCACTGTTTGGTCGGAAGAAACATGTTGAACAGAATTGATTTCACATGGAAAGTAATTCAATCAAATCAACCTTCAAACTTCATTTTTTATTACTCCCTAGAAAAATTAAAGAGGATAGGGGAGGGGAGATGAAGGAAAGGAATAAAGGAGAAAGGTGAGGCATGTGGGCATTTCTGCTTTAAGTAAAGAAAACCTTGACCCTTCAGAAAACTACTTCCACCATAGGATACTTTTTTTTCCCCCTTTACAAACCAAACAAAGAAGATCAGAGAAAGTGAACAACTAAGTTCCTATGTATAAGTCGTCAACTGAATAATCTCAATGATCATTCCAGCTTTAAGAAAAACAAAGCATTAGAAGGAAATCAATTTGTTATCATAAACCATCAGGGACAAACACATAAATAAAAATAGAATAAAATAAAATAAAGGATAATGTAAACTTTATTACAAGTTCTAGACAGGGATAATGTGTATAATCTGACTCTGAGAGCATTAATACTGAATTATCTGTGATAATAGCAGCTTATCTCATTTTGGGACTAAGGCTTTATTGTTGTTGTTCTTGTTGATGCAATAGCAGCTTATCTCAACCCTTCTGAACTTTTCGAAAAAATATAGAGGATGGGGAGGGAGAGTAATGCAAGAAGAACAAGGCCATGTCATTCAGCACAAAACTTGCAGCCTGAAGCTTACAAGTTACCATTTTAGAGTTCACATAAACAAACACAAAAGGCTATTTATAGTTGCATGCCAGCAATCAAGTGCAGTTTGGGCGCAAGAAATTAGAAGCAACAGATGCAAAATGTCTTGAGAAAGGAATGTGAATTTAAATGATATATGACCCTTATAACCTGAAATCATGACCCCATTCTGATATGCAATGTGCTTCATCGACAGCAAAGAGACAAATTCCAGCCTTTAGCAGTCTTGTCCAGAAGCTGAAAAAATGAGACAAAGGACATAAATTAGAGGCAGAGTCAGACAAGCAACATCGATCCAGCAGTCATAACCCGTGAAAAAAAAAGTATAGCACTGGTTAAATATTATAATAGGATCATGTCAGTCATTATACACGCTAGATGAAGTCGTCCATTTTTTTTATAACAATGTACTTTGCATTCAATTTTAAAGATGTCAACTCAGATCAAATATGAGTAACATAAACCTACACTCCTACATGGAAGAAAGATAGACAAATAAAACCAAAAAAAAAAATCAATAAAGGGTATAAAGCAAGAAAGACAATAGTAGCATCAAAAGATTAAGGATACAACAAGAAGAAACAAACAAGCAATAGGGTAAGAAATATGAAAGAAACGAAGAGTAATAGAAAATGCCATCAAAGTTCCAACAAATAACAATACCTCATTTCTGGAAACGTAATATGAATATATAAGTTGCCACGGAAACAAACAAAAAAAAAAAAAAAAAAGAGAGAGAGAGAGAGATCAACAAGTGATGCAACAGGCACCTATTAGGAATTGCGCATGCTTTCTCCGGGGTCATGAACAACAAGCTATAAAAGCCTGATTCAGCTTTTGTCTGTACAGTTTTATCAGTTTGAGTAGAACCTAGGTACTCCGCTTGGATGCCACGTTGTTTTAAAGCCATTACCTATCAGTCATTAGTCAATAATTTATCAACTTAAGCCCACCACAGCAACAAAAAAAGATATGTAATCATTAATAAGATTACCTGATCTTGCATCAAAGATAACAGAGGACTGACCACAATGCCTGTATTCCCTGCAATCAAGGGGGGAACTTGATAGCTGCACAGATTTAGGCAAGAAATTATAATTACAATCCATGAAAGAAACCAAACAAACAAAGCAACGCACAAAGAGGCACCAATATTGATGTTGGCCATTAAATCGAACATGGAATATGTATACAAAATAGGTTTCCAGCTACAACAACAATGCAAACAACTTGAAAAAACACTAAAACAGCATCAAACTCAATAGCTATGATATCATGAAATTGAATCAAGCAAAGTATTTACGGTCTTCTAATTTATGCCACAAGGAGGGGGAAAAAAAGGTAATTTATTCCCCTATAGCTAGTAGAACATGCAAAATAATCGAGGCAACAAAAATAAGTAAGCAAACAAGGACAACTAAGTAATGTTCAAAACGGGAAATCAAGAATATTAACAAGTATTGAGTAAAGAAGGCACACAAAAATACAGTACATACTCATTTTAACTGGAGATAATTGTCATATACTATTTTAGAATGTCCGGAAAAACTTGCCACATTGCCTCAAATAGAAATGGATCATGGTTGAATTTCTAAACATGTCACCAATCAAATAAGTTCAGTGAAGCATTTTCAGTGAAATCGCACTAAGTCCTTAATTATAAGAGGCTGGGACAAATTGACACAATCAATCCCAGTCAAAAAATTAGTTTAAAATTGCAATCTTCAAAAAGATTTCACCTTTTTCATTCTACTAATTAACAACAACCCCAATTATCTTACAGGTAAATAAACGCAATGAAAATAAAATTAATAATTGAAGTACAAATTTGACGAAATTTATCTAAAATAAAAGAACAATAAAGTAGTAAACTCACCAAAGAGATTTGCCACTACCAGTTGCCATAACAGCCAAACAATCTCTTCCCTCCATAATTTTCTCAATCACTTCTTTCTGATACGGCCGAAAATTTGAAAACCCAAAAAATTTCTGCAACCAAATACATAGAAATCAGTAGTAAATTGAAGAACAAATTAGAAAAAAAAAAAAAAAAAATTAAACACACAAAAAAATGAACTCTAAAAAAAGGTAATGAAGGCAAAAAAAAAATGGATTTTCTTAAAAAAAATAAATAAATAAATAAAACCCTAAATTATTATTGAACAAATTGCAAAAATTAATAATGAGAGAAGACTGAATTACTTTGAGAGTGAGCTCCATTAGAGTGAAATTGAGGGTTTAATGGTAAGAGGGTAAACGTCGCTTCTATTAATGAAGTAGAGAAAACGAGAGCAACAATTTATGTGAAGATGGGGAGTCGAACTCTCTTTTTTTTTTTTTTTGAAAACACTCTAACTCTCTTCCTTCGTAATTGTCATTATATTTCCCGCCATTTTGGTTGGGTTGTTGCATGGCACTTTCGGTTGTGGTTGGTGCACCCGGGTGCACAATGCGCATGGTGTACCTAAATTGAACATTTAGTATATTTAAAAGAATAATGGGTAAAAAATGAACATGTTTTTTTTTCTTGCAACTGCAAATCCATCGCTCTCTTCTCCTGTAATTTCTCACTCCTCTTTCCCTTCCTATAACTCTCTTTCTTGCTGCCAATTCTCTCTCTCTTTTACACCATCGTTTTCATCTAAGAATTGCAATGGAGGTCTCAAATTAGTCTCACTTTGCTGTCAATCTCGTAATACTAGTACTTCTTCTACTGTTTGGATAAAAATCATTTCTAAAGTACTCATTTTCTCTCTATAGAACTTTTCTCTCTATTTTCAATTTTTTCTATTTTCCAAAAAAAATTCAAAAATCAAATTAGCAAAATTGTTCATCTTCAAAGTGAAACCCAAGAAAAAAAATTGAACTTATTTCAACAATTCAACCTTCAAACTTGAACAAATGGTGGATTCCAGTAAAATATAAGTATAAATTTATACATGCAAATTGTTTTTCGTCAGTAATTTTAAAGTCAAAGTGTTTAATTTTGTGACTTTGGGGGTTTTTTAAAAAAATAATAAAAAATTAAAGCTATGAAGTACAAGTTGTTCAAAAAAGAACAATTGGAGGAGAAAAAAGAATAGTAACGAAGCCAACTGGAAGATAACCAAGCAAGGTTAATTTTTCAAACACTAGCTTGTTCTTTTTCAAACACTAATATGTTCTTTTTATTCCATGTTCTTTAAAATATGCCTAATGTTCTTTTTGGGGTCATGTTCTTTGTCAAACACAAACATGTTTTTTTGTTGAACACTATTATACATGTTCTTTTTCAAACACTCGTATGTTCTTTTTTTTTCTCATGTTATTTAAAATAAGCCTAATGTTCTTTCTGGGTGCACCATGGTGCACTCGAGTGCACTATACTATTTACACTTCCACCGTGTTTTTTTAATTGTAACAAGTTGATAAAGTGAGGTTTGTTTGGGAATTAAAACTAAAATCAGCATTTTATCAAGAAAATTCCAGTTAATCATAATAAACCAAAAAATTGGTTATCGGATGGCATTTCTGCGAATAAAAAAAAATAAAAAATAAAAAAATTCAGTGACCATGGTATTTTTTGCGAACAAATCAACATTTATGGGACCCATATTTAATAAAAGTTGTATTATTTACAAAACTGTCACTAAATAAATGTTTTTTCTATCAAAATGATACGAAACGGAGTGAACTTGTATTTTCCCCATTTTATTTCTATGGTATAAGCTAGGGGTGAAATTAGAGTCGTCTCCTCTCTTTTTTTTTCTCTCCAGGGTTCTTCAAAATAAGTGTTTCATAGGCCGAAAATAACCAAATTGGTTGTTTCCAGCCCTTTCCCTTTAGTTTCTTTATGCTTTTGTGAGTTAAGTACAAAAGTAAGGATTATCTTTTTTAATTTTTAACTTTTTGGGACCTTTATGTTTTTTTTCACCTTTTGAAACCTATAGTTAGGAAACCGCTGACTTAACCCGATGCAAACCAACTGGAATAAAACTTAGTCCCTTAAATTAATTGACGAAAAAATACAGTCCACAAAAAAACATAGTCTCTAATTTATTACATGCATATCCAACCAAAAAAAGAAAGGTCCTCCAATATTTTTTCTTCCGAATACACAACACATAATTAGCAATCAATGATCTTCCAAACCATTTTTATGAGATAATAAGACAATAAGGGCATGTTCACATTTACTGAACTGAACTGAAATGAACTGATTGGAGCTTAACTGAGATGAAATGAATATTTTATGAGAGAGGGAAATTAGGAGCTAAACTGAACTAATTGGAGTTGAAATGAATATTTTATAAGAGAGGGAAATTAGGAGTTGAATTGAACTGATTGGAGCTGAACTGAACTAAAATTAAGTAAATGTGAACAGACCCTAAATGATGTTATTTCCTATTTCACTTTTTCACTGTTTTTCTTAATTCTCTATATTGTAAAATAATCATATAGTATAACAATTATGAAATTTCATTTTTAAAATACCGACGGATTTGACATGAAAATGTATTAGCCGAATGTGATGCAAAGACTATGGTGGAAATTTTGAATCATGCTTGGTATGGGTGATTCCTGATTTTTTTTTATTTTTTTATTTTTATTATATTTGACAATATCCCCGAATTTTTTGTTGTATAGAGATAGCAAAAGGCTCACCATATAGTGTTTGTTTCAAACGTTTTTGTATGGACTCTTTCTCTCAAAGTATTTTAATATTGACGGAACTGGATTTGCAATAACATTTTCGACTAAGGCCCCGTTTACTTCACCTTATTTTTGCTGAACTGAAATTATTTTTATTGAAACAAAAAATATTTGCTGAACTTAAATTATTTTTATTGAAGTGAAATTAAATTTACTAAACTGAAATTATTTTTGCTGAACTGAAATTATTTTTACTGATTTTCTATTATATTCTTCTTTAAGAAAATTGAATTTTACTAAACTGGACTTATTTTTACTGAACTAAAATTAATTTTACTGAAATGAACTTATTTTTACTAAAATGAGATTATTTTTACTAAATATTATTTTTTTTAAGGTGAAGTGAACAGGAACTAACGTAACACCCTAGAAATTCCTTTCTTTAAATAGGAATATCTAAGACATTAAATAGGAAAACGGTTAAGGCAACTATCAAAGATACACAGCGGAAGACTAATTCCAAAACCATTCAAAACAAGTCTACTTAAAAAGTCAATCAACGAAAGTAAATTCAAACCAAAGTCAAACGAAGTAAAATAAAATCAACCTACAACTTGGAACCATTGTAGGCCCTTATTAAAAACAAAACCGAATTCAAAACCTTTCGTTAGTCACGCATAATAGTAAGGACATAAATAAATAAATCAATAAACACATCATATACGTATAGAAACTAACATGATTCGCTCTTCACTCATGCCCATTTATGAAAATGCTTCATCACCTGAAAAACTTCTCTCTACTTGTTTGCACTACTCTCCATTAAAAATGGGTCATCATAGGGCCAAGATAAAGACTAGGCCAACAAACACACAAAACACACAATCAACAAAGCTGAGTACATAAGTGTAATTAACACACTAACATATAATTTCCTATCAACACACAACTTACCTTGATGCACCTATTTTTCAAGCATACAACAACCAATAAAATCTCACTAAACACTACATAATTTATTTAATGTTGACTACGCATCAAACGAGTTTCCCACTCAACCTCTTTAATACCCCGTATTTTTTTAAGCGACTTACTTATTATTAATTATGGATTTTTCCGAAATATTTTATTATTATACAAAAATATCAATATGATTTTACGAAGATAATTTTATAATTATATTTTATAAAGATTTTAATTATATGATTCAAGTCAAAGATCAACTTTTCAACCGTTAATACCTTGTACCCGATTTAGACGGCAAAGTACCAAATTCGCTATTTATACACGAGTCCAATTCATATGTGAAGTACATTAGTACTACACAAAAATAGTACATCAATTTACCTAGCATTCTACTTCTCTATATGTGTGTGTGTATATATATATTAAAAAATAATAATAATAATAAATAATAATAATAATAATAATAATAATAATTTGAGCATGTCGACAATGGGGGGGGAACCCACCCAATTGCCCACTTGCTTTCTCCATTAATGGTGAAGGTTGAAATAATACCAAAGCTTTTGCTATAAATAGCTATGAGACCATGGCACTACTTCACCATCTCCTACTTCATCTTCTTACTTTTCTTCTTCTTTATCCTTTCTCCTCCACATTTACTTCCTTTTAAGCTTTCATTTCGTAGTCTTGAGCTCCTCACGAGCACCTCCTCGCCGCCACCCTACTGCCGCCATTCGGCCACCACCTTGCCACCACCTCCTTCCTTGCATTGCTAACCGTAAGTAAGCCATATATTTCTCATTTTAGTACTACTACTAAGTACTAGTAATACTACTACTACTACTACTACTACTCTCAACTACACTAATACTACTACTACTCTCAACTACTACTACAACTCCTCCTCCTATGTTCTACGTACTACTACTACTTCCTATTATTATTATTATTATTATTATTATTATTATTATAAGTATGACTACTACTCCTATTTACATACTACTATACCTTCTAAACTATTACTACTCACATATACTATTACTATTACTATTACTATTATGGATCATTAAAGATTATTTCATAAATAGAAGTGTTAATTTTATAAAAGGGTTATGATAATAAATTGTTCATGCACAACTAGTTAAAGTCGGTATTCTATGTCCTCGTGTATATGAATTGGAAAGTATTTGATTAGACTTATTGGTTTGTTATAGGAGGAATTTCGGGTTTGAAATTAGGAGCGCCGTAATTGTGTTCAAAGATCAAGGTACATACACGTGGCTAGATCTTTTATGAAGTAACTTTTATATGCAACGTGATTTACATGTTAAGTGATTTCAAACCATGTTTAAATGATTGCGAAATATATTTCGGTTAAACATGTTTTAATTGTTTGATCTCAAATGTTGAAATATTTTATATGATTGATTACAAACTTGTACTGATATTAAAGATGTTTAAAAAGAAAGTTTTATTATTTATATTATCCCGAGTATGGGATATTGGAAAGTTATTTAACAGAATTTATTCCTTGGATCTTCGGATTTTTAACTCCCACTGTGCAGAGTAAGTTGAAGACTATGGACTTTGTATGACCTAGTCTTTCCCCTTGATAGCACTATGTAAAGGAGTTACTAGCTTGGGGGGTGTGCACACTTAGATGGAAAAATGATTTATGAAAATATGGATTGATCCACCCTATCCGGAATTAACTTTGAAAAGTTGGTTATTTCAGAAATTTGTTCTTTTGACAAGTTTTTATACACGAATTCCTATTCATGAATGGTTTGCATAAATTATGATTTGTTAAAGTTAAATCTCTTCGAAAACATGTTTAATTAATTAAATCGATTAACATGTCTAGCATTTGTATGTACTTAGCATTTTGGCTAATACGTATTTGTTTTGTTTTGGCTTTGCCCTACTCATCATTTTGATGATTAGATAGGTGATGGCGATCGAACAACGTGAACTATATGCTGCATTGGGGACGATGGACGGTGATCACCTAGTTTAATTTAGTAAACGTAGTATCAGTGTTGTAGTTACTTTTGTAATTACTTTG